TCCCCGAACCGACCTCGATCTTCTACCTGGGTCCGACCGTACCACAGCACCGCTTCTGGATCCTTGCGCAGGTGGAGGACGACGGCCGACAAGGCGGGCGTGAGGTGAAAGGGGTGCTCCTGTGGACAGCGCTGCGCGGGTGCGCCGCTGCACGCGCTGCTTTCTTTTGTTGGCCCTACAGGAGCGCGTTTCTTTATGCTCGGCGATGACGGGCGTCATGGGGGGGGGGGGGGGGGGGGGGGGGGGTATGACGTAACGCCCCCCCCCCGCCGTGTGGCTCCGGCACCACAGCCGCGCCCGCGCGCACTACGCGACGAGCGACAAGCGACGACGACGACGACGACGACGACGACGACGACGCGAGCAGCATGTAGGTTGCGATCTGCCCCGCTGCGCCCGTGTACACCACAGCGCTCGCGTGCACCACAGCGCGCGTGTACACCACAGCACCTGCGTACATCGCAGCAACCGTGTGCAACGCAGCGCCTGTGTACACTGCATTGCTTGCGTACACTACAGCGCCGGTGTACATGTGCACACCCGAAGCAACCATGTGCAACGCAGCGCCTGTGTACACCACAATGCTTGCGTGCACCGTGGCGCCTGTGCACGCCACAGCGCCTGTCTACACCACAGCATCCGCGTGCAACGCAGCGCTATTGTACACCACGCCGCCTGCGTGCATAGGACAAGTAGAAGGAGCCTGTCCGTGAGGATCTGCTGCGGAAGCGCCACGCCAGGAAAGTGCTGATAATCGGATGCGACTTTTTCCCCTCTTTTCTTTCTCCTCCACTTCCACCTCCTCTTCCTCCTCCTCCTCCTCCTCCTCCTCCTCCTCCTCCCCCTCCTCCTCCTCCTCCTCCTCCTCCTCCTCCTCCTTTTTCTCTTCCTCCGCCTCCTCCTCCTACTCCTCCTCCTCCTCCTCCCTCCCCCCTGTCGTGCGGGCTGGCGCTGCAGCACACGTGCGCAATTCAGCGTGCACCGCAGAATGTTCTATTGAATCGGCCCACTTGGTTCTCGGACGGCCAATTTAGCTGGAGCCTTGTGGACACAGATGGGAGGAGTTACTGTGGAGCGGGCGAACTCGGAAGGACTCGTAGATTCCCTTGGCGTTCCCTTGTCCATAAGGATTATTTCCTGTTGTTTTCGGTGGGATCCACAAACGCCCCATTTTGTCATAATGATTCCTTCAAACATTCTACATACAACAGTGGTGCTGTGTTGCATACGGTTGCTGTTGTGCACACAAGCGCCGTGGTGTATACAGGCACTCCAATGCACGCAGGCATTGTAGTGTACACAGCTGTGTTGCACACGGCGGATGTGGTGTACGCAGGCGTTATGGTGTACACAAGAGCTGGTGCGCCCGCGCGCGCGGTGGCACAAACTGACACTGTGTTGCACGCGGCTGCTGTGGTGTACATAGGCGGTGTGGTGTACACAAGCGCTGTGGTGCACGCAGGCACTGAGGTGTACACAGGCGTTGTGGTACAGATCGACATCTACATGCTGGTGCCACCCGTCCTCCGTCATTCCCAAGCATTCCACGGCGCCGCCTGCACGAAGCGTGACGTCATCGACCCCCTCCACCCACCCAGATGATTGCCGTCATCGGCCCGGAATAAAAAAACAAGCTCCAGCCGCGTCCGCGCGCACGACGACGATGAGCGACGAGCGACGAGCGACGACCCACGAGCCACGAGCGACGACGACGACGACGACGTCGACGACGACGACGACTGCGGACCAGACTTCTATGCGGATTCCTGCGCGGACACCTACGCCGATCCCAATACGCACGGCGGCCGTACCCGGAGCGCACTGGGGGGGGAGCGTTACGTCATAGGGGGAGGGAGGGCGGGGCCCATGACGCCCGTCATGCCCCAAGCAATCAAGAAATGGGCTCCAGGTAGAGACGAGATCCTCCGCCGGCCAAAACAACCCAAACTATAAGATCATTCGAGGGTGCTCTCCCCCAGGATGCACAATCATGTTCAAGAAACTCGATTAACATTAGGGCACCATCCCCGAACCGACCTCGACCTTCTACCTGGGTCCGACCGTACCACAGCACCGCTTCTGGATCCTTGAGCAGGTGGAGAACGATCCCTTGTTGGCCCTACAGGTAGAGACGAGCTGCAGTGCCATCTCTTGGTCCTCCTCGACGCTGGACGCTGCGGGCAGGTGTGTCCCCAGGATTGATGCCCTCGCACGCTCGCGTCTCCTCCTACCTTCCCCTTCTCCTACGTGCTGCTGAGGTGCGTGGTCTCCGTACGCCTCCAGACTCAAGGATGTCCACCAACACCTGAACAGTGTGAACACTGGAGTTCAAACGAATCACCACCTCCAGCGGAGTATGGGCTGTCGCACGTCAGCCTCAAGCGCGGCGCGCGCTCCGCGGAACTTATGCGGGACGATTCAGGCAGGCACCGCGGACAAGCCTGGGCTGACACTCTCTTTGACGTGCGACCTCCCGAACAATTAGCTCCTTGACTGGGGCTGAGGGCGGAATGAGGGAGCGAGGCCCTGGTCGCGAAAATCCCCTTCAGCCCGGCGCTGCACATGCAACTCCACAGGGGGCGAACTGCTCACCCACAACTCTGGCATACGGTAGGGTACGGGGGCCCTGGCTGCAAGACGGGGTAGCCCTGCAAGGGCACCGTATGCCCCGCCACTAGCGAGGGAGCGCACCGTGGCCTGCAAGCTGCAGCCCCAGGAAACCATCTGGTCACATTCATCATATCATGTCGCTGCTGTTCTTTTCCGATCTATGATTGTCGTAACCTGTCCTCTCCCTCCCCCTCGTGTTCCCTCGTCTTCCCGAGGGAGGGAGGGACGGTGGGAGGGAGGGAGCGTGAAGAGAGAGGGAACGTGAAGGAGGGAGCGTGAAGGAGGGAGGGAGCGTGAAGGAGGGAGGGAGCGTGAAGGAGGGAGGGAAGGAGGGAGGGAGGGAGGAGGAGGGGGATGAGGAGAAGGAGCAATGTGTATCATGAGATTCGAAGCATGCTTGGCCTCCCCCTCCTCCCTTCTCCTCTTATTCGGGAAAGCCGAATGATACCAATACCGGTACTCCCTGGACCTCTCCTGGGGTGCGTTGTGACTAGAACTTCGAGGCGAATCCACCGGTGGCGACGAGGGCCTTCCAAGTGGCCCACGACGGCACCAACGAAGCAAGGGTAGCGGTATCGGTACTACGGTACCTGTTCCTCTCCTTCCCTCCCTCCTTCCCACCCCTCCGACGGGCCTCCTCCAGCACGTCGAAAGCGCTCTCCATGGCGGCAGCCCGCTGCTCCTTGAGAGCCTCCCTCTGCTGGGCGAGGCGGATGTGCTCCTCCCGGTGCGCCCTCTCGCGCTCCTCGCGGGCCTGTCTCGGATCGTCACTGGGCAGGGGGGAGCTGGGGGGAGGGATGCGAGGGGCAAGTGACGGTGCGGGGGGTTGGGGGGGAGGGGAAGGAATGGAAGGAGGGGGAATTGGGGATGAGGGGTAAGAAGCGGAGGGAGCTGGAGGGCAAGGAAGGGGGATGTAGATGGGGCGGGGGGAAGAGGAGGAGAGGACGGGAGCGGGGTGCAGAGGGGAGGTGAGTGCCTGCCCCTCCTTCTTCCTTCTCGTCCTCCTTCTCCTCCCCTGAGAGGGGAGGGGGTGGACGGGGGTGAAGAGCACCGTGGGGAGGAACACACACAGGAGAGAGCAGGGTACCGGGGAGGGAAGGCAGGGAAGGGCAGAGAATAGGATAGGGGGGGTGCGCCCTTCCCCCCTCCCCTGGCGCGGCTGGCCACCGCGGCCACCACGGCCGCCGTCCGCCGCAACGCTGGCGACGGTGGCCGCGACGACGACAATGATAGTGAACGACGGACGCGGCAACGACGACGGCGGCGGCGGCGGCGTCCAGCAACGGTGGCGGCGGTGGTCAAGAACGAGGGCCACGGCGGCGACGCTCAACTGCAACTGCCACCACGACGACGGCGACTGCCAACAACGACGGCCAGTGACGATGGCCACGACGGCGGCGACTACAACGGCGACTTTTTGATCGCCACGCGGACAAAGTCCAGGGGGGGAGGGGGTGGAGGCGGGAAGATGGAGGGAAGAGGGAAAGAAATGGACGGACGGGATGAGGGACAAAGTCCAGGGAGGGAGAGGAGGGACAAGGACAAGGACAAGCGTTCCGAAGAACCTCCACATATCGGCTGACTACCTCGATCTACTCTCGGTTCGGAGGATAATCCCGAAGGGGACGTGAAGCGGGGCGAGGTGGACCTTCGGAGCATCGCCGAAAGCTAGCGCCCCGCCCCGAGGACCGCCAAGGGAACGCGTTACCCAAGACGGGGCCCAGCGAAGAGTAGGGAGGGCGACGCGACAACGAGAGGGAACGAGTCAAGGCCCCAGGAACTCGGGAGGACCAGGAGGACGGGGGAGGGGGTCTTCTCTTCGCTCGAACTCCTCCCTCGCGAGTCTAATTATATGAGCGCTATTGAACAACTTCTCCGAACTGGGGCTTCCTGGAAAAACCTGCTATTTTCAAAATATTCTCTAACACAAACCGAATCGGGAGCCTCCCACCGCCTACCTGCCCACTCAGAGGAGGCAGGAGGCCTAGCTCCCGAAGGACGAGGCGGCCTAGAAGTGGTCGACGGAGTTGCCGAAGCCGCAGGCCTCGAGGTCGTAGGTGCGGAGGGAGGAGCCGAGGCCGCGGGCCTCGAAGAGGGAGGCGTGGGCCCCGAACTCGGAGCCCCCAAGGTCATAGTTGGTCTCGCCATGTCGGTAGTCAGAGTCGAGGTCACTTCAGGCAGCTTCAAGTCCGCTTCCATCGAACCATGACCCATTGGTAAAAAATTGCCCCCATCATTCACTATACCATTCGTGCCGTCATCCAGCGTCGCGTCATCAGCCCTCTCCCCCTGCCCAAGGTCCAAGTCCCCCCGGAGGGGGCCAGAGATTAAGGCAGTGCCCACCGAGGGCGGGGGGCTAATTGGACGTGTTGCGGCCTGAAGTAGTCGACTTACTCTTTCGTGCAGGCCTCCAGCCAGTCCTGCAGCTCGCGCTCCATGTGGCTGACGGGGGCCCGACCCTGCTTCCACTCCGTGCCCGTCTGGACCATCGCGTCGATGATGCATTGGCGTATCTCTGGGTGCAGGTGGAGCATGAGCTTGCGCTTGTTGACATCGTAGCGCTGATCCATCTTGCAGAATTTGATCATGTCCCCCCGCTTCGTCATGTCCCACGTCTCTATGACCTGCTTCAGCTCCATCAGCTTCTTGGCGCTGGCGGCTCCGACCGCGCCCTTGCGCCGGCGCAATGCAGCGAGGAGGCCGCCGAAGACCCAAAGGCGCGGGGGGCCGTGATTGCGGCCTTTGCCGGAAGCCGTGACGGCCTCGTTGTAGCGCGCACCTTGGGCGCTCATCCGGGTTGCCTCTTGGCTGGCGCCGTCGAGGATCAGGCAATCGAACGCGACCCCCTCGACGTTGCGCTTGGACTGGCCCAGCTGGAGAAGGAACTTCAACATCAGCACCTGCAGCGTCTTCTGACCGCCCTTGAGTCTGAGGTCTGTCTTGGCCTGTCCGTCGTTCTTGGCCTTCGCGCGCCTCGGCCGCTGCTCGGCCACCGGCGCGGCGCCCTCGGCGGGGAACATCTCGCCCCCGCAGCTCCGGGGGCCCCGCCCGCGGGCCGCTGAGCCCCACTCCTCTCTCTCTCGAGGGAAAACTGCAGCAGGTGGAGGACGGGGGGGATGTTGTGAGGTCGCATGATCATTATACTGCTCGATCGCGTCGAATGTGATATCGCAATACAGGCAGCGGTATTCGTTCGGAGGCATGAGTGGCCATCGGAAAGAAGTTCGCCCCATTCTACATACTTGACTGCCCCGTGCTTTGCGCGCGCGCGTTGACGGGCACTGTCTTTCGTAGAGAATGTTTGTTTACACCGTGGACACATGTTGTAATTAACACATGTGAATAGTGGGTTACGTCGGCCGCGTTCTCCCTCGCGCGAATTATACATGCGCGACGCAAGGTCTCCGTGCGATGAGAATGTTTGCAAGCGCCGCATTCCGCGCTCGTCCTTCAGCGCGCGCACAAAGGCGGTGAGACTCTCCTCCGTCGGGGGCCCCATAGCTCGAGCAGGCCCTCGAAGGCGGCGGAAGAAAGCGGCCTCTCCCTCCGTAAGGATGGCAGCTTTCAAAATCGATGCGTCCACTGCGAGAAATGCGTCCCTCACTTCGTCGTTGTGACAAAATACGATATATGAGTAATCCCACTCCGCCCACCTCTCGTAAAATTCCTCCACCCCACTAATACCAGCAAAAATCCATAGATCTATCTCTACTTGGTGCGCCAGCGGTGGGGCTTGCCGAGCGAGGTGTCCACGGGGGTCCAGGGCGGGCGGGCCGTGTCCCAGGGTTCCCCAGAGGGCCGCGATGACTTGGGCGTGGGCCCTGGGATCTCGGGCCATCTTCTGCGCCCAGGCGAACCGTCGAGAAGCTGGCGCGCACCTAGTAAAAAATGACCTTCCACTTTCTTCGGAGAGCAGCGCGCGGCAAACTCGTGGGACGTGCCCCCGTCCAGTCGGTGGCTTCCCCCCCTCTCGAGAGTACGTGAATACTTGGCCACAGTGCTATCCATCTGGTCGGTCATCTTCGCCGTGAAACAGTAGGGCTCGTTTGCAGACAGGCCCGCTTCGATAACATTCCCTGGAAATGCTAGGATCTTAAGCTTATTTGAAATCCTGCTACTCCACAGCTTCCACATTTTTGCCCATCCCGTCTCCATTGCAGAGCGTCGGTACTGAAGCTCTTCCATAGTAGCGAGATTCCACGCGTAGCGGCCTCCAAGATAGCGGGCTCTAGCTAGCACCTTCCCCTCCGTGGCCGGTTCCCCGAATCGTTTTGTTTCTTGTCGGGCGTGAAAACTAGGAGCGATCCCCCTCTTCCCCCTAATCTGCCGCTACCCTACTTCTTGGAGGGCGGTATCGAGATGAATATCGCTCTGGTTCGTAAGAGGGGGGGGCCTCTCCAGCCTCTCCTGTTGGCGCTGGTAGTTTATCGAAGATATCGCCCGCAAGTACTGCGACTCCTCCGTCGAGCTCCCTCGAGAAGATGCCGCACTTCACAGCAATAGTGAGATGGGGGGGGGGGGGGGGGGGGCGACGGCTTCCCAACATCTCGAGAGGCCGTTGCATGATCCTCGCGGATGTCACGAGCTCTTCACTCGATCCCATCAATCCTCCGCATCCGCGTCGTGCTACTAGGTTCTGTTGTTCCTTCCATGCCCCCCCCCCCCCCCCCCCCCCCTCCTTCCGCGAATCCCAAGAAGACAGCCGCTCGAGCGGCGCGATGGAGGAACAAAAGGTACATCCTGCTCTCGAACTAACTCCTGCACTGCCCGCTGCCTTGCCTGCGGGGTCGTAGAGGCAAACGCGTTCGGCATGTCATGGAGGTCATTGAGGTGGCTAATCTTCCTGCGGCGAAGACGGGCTCCAATGCTAAGTTGGACGGCGAGGGCGTCCTCGCGCCGTCGCCCTGATAGGAATCCATGAAACTCCGCAGGCCAATGCGGGGTCCGTGACCTCAATCCCCGCCTCAATAAAGCGCCGAAAAATCCCTTCCAGCACGGGCAGAACACATGAATACGTCGTTTTCCTCCTGACCCCTGTTTTCCATTTGACTTGTTCAGCGGATAGCCCCAGGATGAGTGTCCAAGCTTAGGGGTGCGTTTCAGGGCCCGAGACCACCAATGAATAGCTCTGAGGTGTTCACTGGCAATAGATGGGGGTATGTCACCTACGCGTTCAGCACCGAGTCCGAGTCTCGGTTCATATCCTCTTGAAACATAGCTGGCGTCGGCCGCCATCAAAAAGATCTCCGAAGGTAGACTCCGTGGGGGGCTGCTCGTCGCTGAGGTCGTTTCTTGGGGAATTTGAGCGTCTGTTCCATGTCCCTTTCGGCCCAGAACCAATATTCATCTCGTCGTTCGGGGGTGAGGTCGTTGAGGGAGGTCGAGGAGGGCTCAAGCTCCGCAGCGAAGTCGATCGGCATTGCATTCATACCACCTTCCTGCGGGCTTCCCTCCAGGAAGCGAAGCCACTCGCCTTTGGCAGACTGTGGCTGTGGTACTCCATACCTGCGCTTGCGATGGCCTCCACATCGCTCTGCAAACATAAAGAAAAGGCGATGCACTTCAGCGAATCGTCGAAGTCGGGCGGCTTCGTGAATTTCATGTTCGATCAGTCGTCTTCGGTCGGCACGCTCCTGTCGCACCAGTCGTCGCAATTCAAGCCGGATCTCTCGAAGTGCGTTGTATTCGGGGAATTCGATCGAGTTATATCGTCATAATTCGGCGTACTCGTCTCCCTGTTCTCGAAGCCTCTCTCTCGGGCCTCAGCTCTTAGTCGTGCCAACTCGTCGTGTCGGGCTCGCATTCGGCTAACCTGTGGGTGGGCCTCCTTCGGCGTGGTCTGGAAAAAAGACTGCGCCACGTCTCCAGCGATATTGGTCCAGCAATTCCAGTAGGCGTCTAGATCTCCGCTGCTGTTGTGGCGGTCTAGCTCCCAGCATTCCCGAAACTTACTTTCCAAGGCCTCCTGGAACTCGATGCGACCGCTTGCTTCTTGCAGGGCGAAAGCGATTTTGTCCCTATCCCACTTCAGCTCTTTTGTCTCAGAGGTGGCCCTATGCTGGTAGGTCGTGAACTCCAAGATGATCGGCACATGGCCCCTGGGGCGCGCGTCGGGAATGAGCTGCAGCCGTCTAGCCGCTTTCGAGGGGATCGCGCATCCCCGAATCTGTTCCTGAATGCCGATGGGGAGCAGGATGTGGTGCACCGTGCTAGTAGCCCCTTCGAGGCCCTAGAAGGTGGGGCCCGCCTGGGGGTAGAAGGAGCCCACGCCCATGAAGTCCTGAGGCGCTACCAGTTCGTCCCAAAGAATGTATTCGATGGGGTTCTGGTTGCTCAGATGATACTCGCCCACATTCGGGATCTGCTCGGTACGTCCAGGACTCGGGGTGCCCAGAGAGATCGGTAGCCCGTTGCGGTACCCGAAGCCGGTATTGAAGTCCCCCAGCACGACTGGGGTAGAACGAGTCGGCGTATGTTTTGTACGATCAATCATCCATCGGGCGAGCTCCTTTGAGGCCTTCTCAATGGCCTTCCTTTTTTGGCACTATCATCTCTGATCGGCGGGAGGTATGCCAAGATGCTGGTCAGGTCGGTGGAGCCCTTGACCAGTCGGACGGCTAACCCGCGTCCCTGGGCACTCGTAGGGGGTGTATGAATCTCACGTACGTGTTTGCGTTTTGATCTTCTACCAATCATAATCATGCATCCTGCAGCTCGGTTACTGAACGGTGCGCATGTCCATCCTGCCGCAATCGAAGAACCTCTGTCTACTGCTGTTTCCTGGACAGGTCGATCCGCTGGAGCTCGGAGTCGAGTGCCTGGCAGCGCTACGATATCCACATTCAGTTCTCTCCATACCTGTTGAACTCTGCCAAATTCCAGAAGCGAAAGCAGGTTACACAGCGCAAGTCGCACGAAAAAAAAAGCCATGGGCCCCAAGGGCGAATGCGGCCCCTGGCTCCTCGCCCCGAGAAGCCCTGGGTGGGCCCAGAAGATCACAAAGAGTGTAAAGTCATGGTACAGTGTATGAATGCCGCACAGGGGGAGGGTGATTCCTGAAGCGGCTGGAGAGGAGGGGGGGGGGAGGATGGAAGAGGAAAAGGATGATAAGGAGGACGAAGAGGAGGGAGAAGGAGGGAGCGGGGAGCCGCTCCCTCACAAGACCCAAATGCGCCTCGTGCGGGCCAATAACGTCCCTGGCCGCACGACGGTCACGACAACGACAACCAGCCTGAGTTCCGATGTTACAAAACACATACCGCACCGCGACAAAATCACGACATAATGCCCTGGAACCCAACCTTCTGCTACATTTTTCGAGCCAAATCGCTCTGCGAAAATCCCAGAACCCGAAACCTGGCGAAACTTCCCGGTGAGAAAAAATTGCAGCGCCCGGATCTCAAGGCACGAAAACGACGACGACGGCGACGGTGACGACAACAGCGGCGAAGGCGACGGCGAGGTTGTGACCCGCCCGCCTCTGCGCGGCGCTGCTCGTCCTCCCACGCGCGCCGCTTCAGCCTCTCCATTTCCTCGTGCACGCGCCTCTCGTCCTCCCTCTCCTGGCAGGGGGGGGGGGGCAGGGGGAATGAGGAGGAGGAGGAGGAGGAGGAGGAGGAGGAGGAGGAGGAGGAGGAGGAGGAGGAGGAGGAGGGCGAGGAGGAGGAGGAGGACCACTGTAAACCCAAGACTCATCAAAGATGTTGGAATACACCCTCCCTCCAAGTTCGATACGCCCCCCCTGCAAGCTCCATCTTAGGCCCCTACAAGGATTCATTTCCACTGAAGGAAATGCCCCGTGGGGGGGCAAAGGTTCGAAAATCCTGAACTGTGCCAAAACAACATGATCAGACGAGTCAGCCCGATTGTTGTGTCTGAGCGTTCTTTAATCGCGCCTGTATGACATCCACAACCGCGGGTCAACGGAACTATTGCGCCCTGGCCGTCCTGAACCGTTCCAAAACACCATGTGTAGTACGTGAACGATGGGGAATTAACGTTTACATGAAACTCTGCACAGAGTTAACAACAAATGCGCGCGGCGCTAAGGCAAGAGCCACATGTTGAAAACGGCCCGCCCTCAACCCGTGAAGCTCCTGCAATGTTTGAAAACGAGTGTGCGCGGCGCTGAAGCGAGAACCACATTTCGAAAAGGAACCACCATCAATCAATGAAACTCTTGCGGCCCGCCATCAACCCGTGAAGCTCTTGTCCATAAAAAACCTATGCGCGCGGCGTTAAGGCCAGCACCACATTTTGAAAAAGACCCGCCTTGAATCCGTGAAATTATTGCACCTGTTTGGAACCAATGTGCGCGGCGATGTGGCGAGAACCAAAGTTTGGAAGCGACCCGTCCTCCATCTGTGAAGCTGCTGCCAAGCTTGAAGCCTGAGGCTCATAAATGGTAAAGAAATCTCAGGACGCGAGACGCCCAGCCCGCCCTTCCGACTGGCCTCGGGGTGCGATAAGGAGGAGTTGTTCGCGAGGAAAAGAAATGGAGGAGGAGGAGGAGCAAGAGGAGGAGAAGCAGGAGGAGGAGGACGACGCGAAAGAGGAGGTGCGGGCCCGAACCGCTGAGGAACTCGGTTTGCGCTCATGCGCGGCGCCCTTTCCGCCAGGACGCCCGCGACACGAGAACCTTCCCTCTTGGATTTGCGCCATAGCAATTTTCAGAAACACGTCGTCATGACATGTTCGTTTCATTCGTATGCGCATGCAATTGTTTCATCATGCGCGCATGTTCCGTTACATGTGCAATCGCCTCGGTCACGCTGCTCGTAAACGTCGTGTTTCACCATCGCTCTCTGACGACATCCTCTTGCTCCTTATAGAAGCGACCCGTGGCGAAGATCAGAACAAGAAATGTGCAAATCTACGTGCAATAATGTCGGGTTTGACGCGTATGCCGAAGTTTGCGAATCTGAAGCAAGCTCAAAAAAGCGGCAACTGCCGCAGTACGTGCCGAATTTACCAGAAGTCGCCCTTCTCCCAGTCACTGTGATCGTCCTCACCCCGCCGCCATTTTCTTCGCATCTCGTCCCACGAGTACCAGATACCCGATCGCCGCCATCACATTCGGCGGATGACCAGGCAGCAGCATCAGACAGCACAGTTGTCGTCGGCGCCGATCTTGGTGGGCATGACACCACAACAGGTACATCAGATACAGCAGTCAACGTGGTTTCTTCTGGCAACACACATGCCATGGTCTCTTCTTGCAGTACGCATACCTGTGGACAGCATCGCGTGGTTTCTTCTGGCAATGCGCATACTTTTGGCCAGCAGCATCGCGACGGCGTTCGCGGTGAAAAAAGCAGTGACGTAGACGAGTTTTTGGCTAGTCAAGATGCATCGAGTAACGAAGATTCTTCCAGCAACGCACATATTTCAGCGTCCCCGCTGGTCCGAGCTGTTTCACCATCGCCAACAGTTATCACGGATAACGACGATCAGAATGCCACGTGGAGGGACACCCGCGGACAGATGTACTGTTTTTGCTTACGTCTCGGTTGGACGCCTGTGGACAGATCGGGTAAAAATGTTGAAAGGGGTTCACCGGTACGCTTGCAAGAACAGGAAAATGACTGCTCGAAAGTCCAAACGGTGCCCAGACACTACAACAAGCAATGCTCCCAAAGGTTCAGCTCCTCCGCGTTCTGACGCCAATTCAGCAGGAGCCTCAAGACACAGCGACAGCAGCGTCAGCAAGCCTTCAGGGAGCCCAGAATCCAAAGCGTTGTATTTGATTCGATTGATTCAGCGGGTTGGTGAGCCTGCAAAAGACGGTCTCCGCAAGAAACTACTGTCTCGCCAACCGTTGGTGGTTAAAGGGATTCACTTCGACGCGGGCTCTACATGCAGCACTTCGACGCTGCACAATTGAATGCATCAAACAGTATGCTTCGACGCAGGGTTAAAAATTCTGGGCGCTTCGCATTCCACACCTCCAGGTTGGCTCCCTTTACGGTCTCTTCGCCTCCTTTGTTGTGCCCTCCTCGTTTCTCATCGATCAGATGCGCGGCGCGCATCCTGCCTTCTCGACCAGCCCCGGCGCGCATGTCGGGTGCCAGGGATCATCGTTCACATGCGTGGCGCGCACGAGCGTCTTCTCTACCAGCCCTGGCGCGCACTGACGCGTCACTGAGTGGAGGAGGGCGCATTGGCATCGGAGGTCATGGAGGAGGATCAGAGGGAGGAGGTGGAGTACCCACGAGCAGTATATTGTCATCACCTTGATGTTGCGGTGTATGAGTATGACAAAACGCAGCACAGCCCGAGACGAGTAGAGGCTGGAAGTAGCCCCGACCCTCGGCCCGCTCCACCTCCATTGTTGATCCGCTCCAAAATCGGGATCCCATTGATTTTAATGCAAGGGAGGCCGCTTCTTTCTGCCAGCAGCCATGGCACCCTAGGCTTCGCGGAGGAGGTGGTGGAGGAAAAGCACATGGAGGAGGAGGAGGAGGTGGAGGAGGACCCACGAGCAGGATGTGGTCACTTTGATCACGCGGTGTATGGCAGAACGCATCAGCGCCCGAGACGAGTAGAGGCTGGAAGTAACCCCGATCCTCGGTCCGCTCCACCTCCCTTTTTGCTCCGCTCCAGGGTGATCATTTGATCACGTCGGTATCGCGTATACTGCGCCGATCCGAAAGTTTCCCCCATTTCGCCACCGCGCTCGCCGCGGCCATCTGGGGTGGCGCGCGCAGGAAAAGACCCGCGGGACCCGAGGGCGGACGGGGGCGATGTCGCGGGGTCAGAATCGGCGCGCCGATGGGCAGCCCAGCGCCCCGTTTGGCCGGAGGGGCCCAATACAATGCAAAGGCAGAGCCTAACCCCCGCCCGGGGTCGCGGGATCGGGTTCCCCTTCCCAATTAAAAAAGCTTAAATCCCAAACGGTGTAATGACCCGAAAATGAGCAGACGGCATAGGACTTCCTCGAGAGAAGCTTTCGGGTTCGGTCATGCGACGGCCCGAAAAGTTTATCGGCCGACCTGAAAATGGCCAAATCCCATAGGACTTCTGCTAAACAAAAATTTCGGGTCCAGTTCGAACGACCCGAAAATGTGCAAACCGCGTCGGGCCCCTTGCAAAAACATCGTTCTCGAGGTCTTCGGGCCCAGTCGGAAGAAACCGAACATGGGCAAACCGCCTAGAACATCCTATCACAAACGCTTTCTCGGTGGTTCGGGGCTCGTCCGAAGGGGCCGCCGATGGGCGGGCCGCTCAGGATTACCTTCACAAGGAACGGTTTCCCGAGTGAGCCATTGTCAACGGGAACGCGCCCCGCGCGGGATCGGGGCTCGCATGGGGGCGCGGCTGCTCTCGCCTGTCCAGGGGGCATGCATTGCCTCGCCCTTTCAGCATAGCGTTTGCGCTGCATTCGCGCGGCGCCGTGCCTCTCAAATCGGAATGAACTTTCGGAGCGCCGATGTATCCTGTTTTCTCGACCTCCATTTAACACAACGCGGTGGCGCCAGTTGTCTTCTCACCATGGCCTGCCCAACACTTGCCCTGTCCTGGCCCCTCCTGCCGTCGTTCGTCCCTCCGCGCTCCTCTCGCCTTCTCCGCTCCGCTGGGCCATCGGCCTCTCCTCTCCCCCTCAGGTGCTGTTCCCTGCCGGTGGCATGATGGAAAGGGGGTACGTGGGGCCTGGTTTCCGCGTGCGGATACCAGGCGCACATGCCTCGCTGCTCTGACTTGGCACTGCGCCTGCTTACCCTTCCTTCTCCGGGGTCGTTGCTGCTTGCTCAAGGGCCAGGCAATACGCTCTCTCTGTCCCTGTATCCGACTTTTGCTTTGTGCCATTGCATCACCTATCGTCCTCTCTTCACTAGTCGCTTGTGGGGGGGATGAGGTTGGGAGAGGAGGAGGAGGAGGATGTTCGAGCGCAGCGGCGCCAAAAACGAACTGCGACTGAGTTTGACCCCGCTTCTCGGTCCTCGCGCACTCCCTCCACAGTGCCCTGTCGCGCAGAGGTTTGCCGTTTCGGATGCTCTTCTGCGCCAAGATTTGCTATTTGCAATGCCGTTGCTCTTTGACCGTGTGTCGCAAGGAAGTGTGGCCACTTTTGTGTTGCAAGTTGAGGGGGGCCGCACGGCGGGCAGAGGGGATCGGGAGGAGGTGGAGTACCCACGAGCAGCATCTTGTCAGCCCACAGAGCCTGCAGGGCCAGCCTTCAGGCTAGCCCACAGGGCCAGCCTACAGCTAGCAGTCGCGAAGGGTTCCGTGCTAAACCCGAAACGAACAAACAAAAAGCACACGGCCCCCGGTCCAGGTGGTCAGGGGGAAACCCAGAAACCCTGGGTAGCAGCCCAAGAATTGCCTCCATGCTTGCACTCCACATCTTTCGCTTCACGTTTCTGGCACGCTGCCAGCCTTCACCTGCATGCTACTTTTGACAGAGGCGGCACTGACCACTGAATCTTATGTGGTCTAATATCACCCTTGGATGTGGGGGTGGGGGGAACATCTTACTAAGGTCTGTGCCGACCTCTAGTACCTGGCGGGCGCTTACTCCTTTTGCTACTCTTGTCCCTGTTTCATCGTCCAGCTTTTTCCGCGGCGCCCGCCAGGTACATTGTGAACTGTATCGTGTACACGCTTTCACTTTTCCAGTCAAGAAAGCCACAGCTTCACATTTAGGTTGGTCTAGCGTAATCACGCGGAGGAGGACGAAGAGGAGGAGGGGGAGGAAGAGGAAGAGGAGGAGGAGGAAGAGGAGGAGGAAGAGGAGGAGGAGGAAGAGGAGGACGAGAAGAAAGGAGTTGGGGAGGGAGCGCAGAAGGACGAGGTTGACGAGCTAGAGGAGGGGGTGGGAGGGAGGAAGGGAGGCGGTGAAGAAGGAGAAAGGAGCAGAGGGGCGGAGAAGGGAAGGAGGAAGGGGGACGGTGGGAGGGGGGAGGGAGGAAAGGAGGAGGGAGGAGCGCGCGCCTCGCGTCCTCCCTCTCCTGGCGCCAACTCGCTCTGCCAACGCCTCCCCCTCCATCTCCACCTTCTCCTCCCCCTCCTCCCCCTCCTCCGGGCGCCACGGCGAAAGCGAGGGCGGCTGGCTTCCCCAAAGTTCCACAACAAGGAATGCGGTAAGGGCCTCATCTGTACCAAAGGAGCGCGCTCCTGGAACTCTGAACGAAGAACACGTGTTGCCCGAGTGCCGTACCATGCCCACGTGCCGTGCCCGTGCCTAGCTTTTCATACACCACGTGTCTTGCCATGAGGAGTTGCTGTCTAGGGGCTCTGTGTCGGTGTGCAGTTCTTGTTTTCCTGTAATGTTTGTTCTGGCCTCTGGAAGTATGTCCCCGGCCTAAGGGCTATCGAAACACGGTCCAAGACGAACAGCCAATCCTGGGAATGGGGTCGACAGCTCCAGTGGCCCCTTTGGAGAAATGATCACGGCGACGGAGGGCTGAGCCAATGGCCAGGGGAGGAAACATTACAAATGGAGAAACGGAAAGGAGGAGAAATGGGCCAGAAGTGAGGCGGAGAGGAGGAGGGGAGGAGGAGGAGGAGACGGAGGAGGAGGAGGAGGAGGAGGAAAGAGGAGGGGGAGGAGAAATAGAAGGGAGGACGGGGAGCAAGGAGTGAGGAGGAGCATGGAGATACTTTATGGAGGCGGGAGGGGAAAGGAGAGAAATGGGAGGAGAGAGGATGGGTCGGGAATGAGGAGGGACAGACAAGGGAGGATGGACGAGGGAGGAAGGAGGGAGACACAGGAGGGATGCGGGAAGAGGAAAGCGGGAAGGAGGAATGTGAGGATGAGGAGACGCAAAGCGGAAAGAGGAGTGGTGCGGGAGGACGGATGAGAGCACACGGGAAATGGTGGAGGGGAAAAGAAGTATGGGTCGATGGTAGACAAAGACGTTCGATGCGGGATGATGGGGGAGGATACTGGGGTAACAGAAAAACAGAGATGGTAAACGGAGAAAGTAGGAAGTGGAAAAGGATGGCGAGGAAGAAGACGACAAGGATGGTGATGATGAGGATGAGAACGGGGAGGATAGTGGTGAACACCATCAAGAAATGATCGGGACATAAGCAGGAGGAGCCGAACGATCAATTTTAGGAGGTGGACGTGTCATCCAATAGTGAGGATGATGATGCCGAGGCGGCTGACGGGAAAGACGGGGTGCAGAACGAGGAGAAAAATGCCACGGAGATCGACGAAGAGGATTGAACAGATGACCATGACTTCCCATTCCCCCTGGCATTATTATGCCCGCTAACTTACATGCACTAGGTTGACCGGACATAATCCTAGACCGCTCCACTGCAGCCAAAGAGCGCCGTGCTTTTGTGCATCATAAGCGGAATCACAAAAGAAAGAAAATGGTCGAGAGGGGCAGGATGCAGCAAACCGCAGAGACGACAAGGCGACGGGCAGAGAAGAGACAGGGAGGCGACAGGAGACAAAGGGACAGGACGCAGACAAAAAACGACCACGGGAAGGATGAGATTGCATCGGCGAGGCCGGTCGGCGGGAGAGGGTGCATCAAAAGACTTGCCCGCCGTGGCCGTGCCCGATGTGTGTGTGTGTGTGTGTGTGTGAACGCGCTGATGGGAAGGGATACGTACAGTCTTCTCGCCCAGGGCGAGGGTCGGCTGCGAGGTCCTGCAGAGCCTCGGTGGAGAGGCCCTCGCGCAGCCACTCGAGCTCATCGGCAACAGCACGGAAGCGACCAAGAGACATGGCGGGGTAACGTGCACGTTCTTGGGCAGCCTGGTGGCCGAGCTCACTGGTGTACTTCTGCTGCAGTATCTCCGTCGGCCATGGAGAGGATGACGATAAGGATGGCGGATGATGAGTGAGCAGGACGAGATGGATAAGGAGGAGGAGGAGGACGAGGGAGGAAGGCGATGATGATGAGAAATGGAATTGACAAGAAGGGGGCGAAGCGAGACGGAAAGGAGAAGGGAATGTGTATACCGTGGCAACTGAAGGCGGGGGACAAGCACGATGCACCGGATGCGCACAACAAGGCCAGTGCAAAGCTCGCCCCTCCCAAAGAGAAGCTGGCGCCTGCAGTCGCTGCTCCTCGAGCCGCCTCTTCTCGGCCTGGTACTGCTCGTATATCTGGGCTCGCATCCGCTCCTCTTCCTCCTGAGGCAACCGTGCAAGATGGAGGCGAGGGCAGAGAGGGGGCACAGAAAGCCGGGAGGGGCCACACGTACCCCAGGGCGACGTGCCTTTGGTGGGGCGTCGCACGCGCCAAGACGCCACCAAGACCAGGCCCACTTCCCAAGGTGTGCCCCGAAGAGCCCAATGTGCAGCCTTTGTCCTCTCTGAGGAACGCACAGCAAGGAACGAACGGGCTTTTCTGGTTACGGCGAGCCTCAGCCACAAACAAGCTCCCCGCCCTAGATCTGAGAGGGAGAGCGTGCTCCACCGCTGCTTTACTCTGGAAAATTCCACCCCCTCGTCCTCCGGAGCCCGGAATTCCCCCCCCTCTCGAAAATCCCTCCCCCCCTCCGTCCCCCGGCAAAACCCCCCCTGACCCCTCCCCCACCCCTTCTCCGGGAAACCCGGTGGAGCCACTACTGGTTCGAACCCCCCTCCTTCACCCCCCCTCCAAAAAACGGGGGGGGGTCACTACGGGGGGCCACTACCGGTTCGAACCCCTCCCCGCCCCCCCTCGCTGGCGGCAAAAAAACTCCCGGGTCCCCACCACCGTCCTCACCACCGCCCTCACCACTGTCCCCACCACCACCGTCCCCACCACTGTCCCACTGTCCCCACTGTTCCAACCACTGTCCCCACTGTCCCCACCAATGCCCCCACCACCGTCGCACTGTCCCCACTGTCCCCGCCACTGTCCCCACCACGGTCCCACTCTCCCCACTGTCCCCACCACTGTCCCACTGTCCCCACTATCCCCACCACTGTCCCACAAAGTTGTCCCACAGTTCCCACCACTGTACCACTGTCCCCACTGTCCCCGCCACTCTCCCAACTGTACCACTGTTCCGTTGTCCCACCACCGTCCTCACCACCGCCCTCACCACTGCCCCCACCACCACCGTCCCCACCACTGTTCCATTGTCCCCACCACTGTCCAACTGTCCCCTCGCCACTGTCCCCACCACTATCGTCCCAACCACTGTCCAACTGTCCCCGGTCCCCCACCACTGTCCCACTGTCCCCACTGTTCCCACCACTGTCCCCAATTTCCCCACCAGTGCCCCCACCACTGTCGCATTGTCCCCACTGTCCCCACCACTGTTCCCACAACGATCCCACTCTCCACACTGTCCCAACTGTGCCCACCACTGTCCCACTGTCCCCACCACTGTCCCACTGTTCCCACCGTCCCCACCGCTGTGCCACTGTTACAATGCTGCCCCACTGTCCACACTGTCCCCACCACTGTCCCACTGCCCCCACTGTCCCCGCCACTCTCCCCACTTTACCACTGTCCCAACACAGTCCTAACCACCGCCCTCGCCACTGTCCCCACCACCACCGTCCCCACCACTGTCCCACCACTGTCCCCACCACCACCGTCCCCACCACTGTCCAACTGTCCCCATTGTCCCCGCCACGGTCCCACTGTCCCCACAGTCCCTACCACTGTCCCCACTGCTCCCGCCAGTGCCCCCACCACTGTCGCACTGCCCCCACTGTCTCCACCACTGTCCCCACCACGATCCCACTCTCCCCACTGTCCCAACTGCACCCACCACTATCCCCACCACTGTCCCCACCACGATCCCAGTCTCCACAGTGTCCCAACTGTACCCACCACTGTCCCACTGCCCTCACTGTCCCCCACCACTGTCCCACTGTTCCCACCGCTGTCCCTCTGTTACTGTGCTGCCCCACCGTCCACGTTGTCCCCACCACTGTCCCACTGCCTCCACTGTCCCCACCACTCTCCCCACTGTACCAATGTCCCAACACAGTCCTAACCACTGCCATCACCACTGCCCCCACCACCACCGTCCCCACCACTGTCCCACTGCTGTCCCCAACACCACCGTCCCCACCACTGTCCAACTGTCCCCATTGTCCCCGCCACGGCCCCACTGTCCCCACTGTCCCCACAGTCCCCACCACTGTCCCCACTGCCCCCGCCAGTGCCCCCACCACTGTCGCACTGCCCCCACTGTCCCCACCACTGTCCCCACCACGATCCCACTCTCCCCACTGTCCCAACTGCACCCACCACTATCCCCACCACTGTCCCAACCACTGTCCCCACCAGTCCCCCATCCGGAGTGGGAGAGGAGGGGGAGTCGTTGCGGCGAGGGGGGAGGGGAGGGAGAAGGTAGGGGGGTGTTCGAACCGGTAGTGACCCTCCCAGGTTTGACAAGAGGGGTGGGGGGGTGGGGGAGGGGTTCGAACCGGTAGTGACACCCCCCGTGACATGCAGACAGCTCTCAAATCGATGGCCGGCAACCGACGTGCTGATAAACATGGTGTGTTGGTGGAAATGTTTCGCCATGCGGGCCCTCTTGCCCAATCAGTCCTGGTTGCATGTCTGAACACGGCGTCGTGCACACGGGTGTCTTCCCCAACGACTGGAAGGAGCTGTTGTATGTGATGATTCCCAAGGCTGGCAACGCTCTGGACCCCAACAACTGGAGACCACTGGCTATCTTGGATATTTCATACAAGATCCTCGCCAGAATCTTGCACGACCGTCTCAAAGCCATCCTGGAGCCCCGCCAGCCGCCAGAGCAGCTGGGATTTCGATCCGCCACTGGGACAGAACACGCGCTCTTAATACTCGAGAACGTTATTCCGAAATCAATTTAATTTGATTCGCCGGTATGGATCGTGAGCATCGATTTGACGAAGGCGTTCGACAGAATTGAACACCGTGCACTATTCGCTGCCCTGTCAGCGCAAGGGGTCCCTGTCGAGTACCGCACGCTGCTCCAATGCTTGTATACAGCTCAACGCGGACTTGTGGACAGCTGCCAGTTCGACATAGAACGCGGGGTCAGACAGGGTGACGTGATTAGTCCAATGCTCTTCAACGCTGCGCTGGAAGCGGTCATGTGCCGGTGGCAGGCTCGGCTTGGCAATTGCGGTCTCCTGCTCAGCCCGCAGAGCGATCGTCTGACTAACATCAGATATGCAGACGATCTACTTCTATTTGCTCGGTCGCATGAGGATGCAGTGTGCATGCTCGATTGCCTCGTGGAGGAACTGAGCAGAGCTGGTCTGTCCGTCAACGCGCGGAAGACGAAGATCTTGACAACAGATGCGAACGTTGCAGCAGACGAGGTCCCGCTCTTCCTCGACGCCGGCGGCGGGATGGTTGAGGTTGTCAAGCACGCGGGCACGCATAAGTACCTTGGCTGGCTGCTGAGCGCCGACTTGAGGATGCGAGGTTAAGTGCAACCTGGAGCACCGCATGAAGTGCGCTTGGCTTAAGTACCACCAGTGTTCAGACACGTTGCAGAACCGCAACATTCCGATCAAATTACGCCTGCGTCTGTTCGGCTCCGTGGTGACGCCGTCTGTCCTCTACAGTCTGACCACAACGCCACTCACTCAAAAAGACCTCGACAAGCTGGACGCGCTCCAGAGGAAAATGTTGAGGCGCATTGTTGGGTGGGTACGTCTGGAGGAGGGAGCATGGCAGCTTACTGGCCATCGCATGAAGCGCCGACTGGAGGCGGCCTTAGCGCAACAGCCAGTCACAGAATGGAGCATCCGGCGCAACCATCAGAGAGATTTGCTGGTCCAACAAATCGAACACGGATATTTGTCGCAATGGTGTTCTCTGTCGTATGCTTGGCGGCCTAATCGAGCGCGACATAGAGGCCGACCGCTTCAGAGGTGGACCGACTGAATCTGTGCCTGTTAGCGCGGAGTTCCTCGTGAAGGTCCCCGTGAGCGAGATCTGAGTTTTCTTCCATTCTGCCCTTCTCCCTCCGCCCTCTCCTCCCCCGCTCCCCGCCCCTGCCTGCCCGTGAATCAATCCTCGTTAGACGTTCGCACATGTGCCCGGGTGCCGGAGGCACGGGCCAAGTTTTCCCCCCGAGTTCTAGATTGGCACGGCCTTCGGGCCGATCGGGAGTTGCGTTGCGTTGCGGGAGGGGTGAGGGGGGGGTTGGAACCCCCAGTGACCCCCCCCTCAATTTTCGAGAAAGGGAGGGGGGACGGGTTGGACACCCCCAAAGACCCCCCCCCCCCCGGTTTTCTGCCAGCAACGGTAGAACACGCTCTTTCAGATCTGAGGAACGGCCCGAACACCAGGGCCTCTCCGGAGCCACAATTGGCTTTTATTTCAGCGTCTTGACTGCACCCTCGGCCTCTCACAGGGAGGAAGGGGACGAGGGAGGGGGAGCCGGGGAAGGAGTGGCGAGCGTAGGCAGCCGTGGGGAGTGGAGGGCCAAGCGCGGGTGCTCTTGCTGTTGTTCCTGCGAGGCTGGGGGGCCGAGACTTCTGCAGCAGCGCGGCCGAGCGTTCGCAACCAGTGCTCTGCCCGAGCCGGCCCTGCTGCTCTCCAGCGGTGGTGGCCTTCTGCCACGTCCAGGCGTTCAAGCCTAGGCTCGAATAGGAACGACGGGCCATGCCGTGTGGAACTCCAGCCATGTTTTGTTTAGCCTGGTGGGGAGACCTCCGCAACCTGTTGATCATCACACCCTAAAGTATCATCCTCGCGCAGGCTCCGATGGGAACCTTTGAGAGGTGTGGTTCGGCTAAGTGGAGCCCAACGGTTGCTTTCAACGCACGCTGTCTCTGGTCACATGCGTAGCATGATCGCAACCCCCAGCTAGCTGGCTTCTTTCTGAAATCACTCGTCGCCCCCTTCACCGCTGTGAGCCGCGACGTTGGCCTAACATAAGCGTGTGGCCTACCCATCGCTCTCTCAAATAATGAGCTTGTGGCGACTACAAGAGCAAAGCAACCTTATCCCCATGGCGTCGTCTTCGTCAAGTTCCCGCGAGGTGCGAAACACTCGCGCAATCTCGGTGCTTGAGCGCCGCAGCAGATTTCAACGAAACAGAAAGCGGGAGCTTGAGCGTTCCCCAACAAGTGTTTGCACTTCGGGTTTGTATATTTGCCTTTGCTAAGGATCTGGATGCATCAGCCGAAGTTTCGCCTGATGCCCAATTGGTGGGCCCTCGTGGGCGCCTCTTGCGCCG